GAGAGTCCGAAACGTCGGGCAAATAAAATACTGATCCCAGAGAACGTTCTTCGGCCTTCTATCCATTTATATATTCATCGCCTGTGAGCGCTAATTGCCCTGGGCTGACGCAAATTAGTATGATCGTCTGCTGGTGAAGATGCCGGTGTTTCTTCCCATTCCCCTCGCGGACATCGCTTTCCCCGTTACGGTATCGTTCGAACGGCAGTTCCCTCATCGTCAGTACTTTCACAGCCCTCACCCGCAGTTGCCGACAGCGCTGCACTGCCCACCAGCCTCTATTCCGCGACTACCCCTAAAAAAAGGGTGGTAAACCCATATTCCCACCTACTCTGCTTATTCATTATTATTGAGCTGCTAACATAGTTTCAAGGAGAGGCGTCCTTTGGGAAAATGAGTAAATTTATTCCATAAATTTTCGACCCTGGGTCCCCAGGTCATCGCCAGACTCGAGAAAAATGTGCAAACAACAGTTAGCATTTCCAAGTGCTAATGCGGTTCTATAGTCATCTGGTGTGGGCGTTAATTGGGAGTTGCAATTTGCGTCAAATCGTGGTGGACATAGCTGAGTGCGCAAGTAGCAAAATTTAATGGAACCATAAATTTCGCGAGCGCTCATCAACTGCTACCACTAGCTGCATTAACTGAGTAACGAATGAGAAATTACAGGAAAATCGATACAAAATTTTGCTACTTACGCAATCTTCAAATTTGTACCTGGGAAAAAATGCTTCAAATAGCTGAGTGCGTAAAGTGGCGCACAAACCGATGGCTACTTTATTCACTCAGTTAGTACACCCTAAGGATAGGGTTGGCTACCTCGATAGGCGCACAAACCGATGGCTACTTTACGCACTCAGCTAGTACACCCTAAGGATGGGGTCAGTCACCTCAATAAGAAAGAAGCCATCTATAAAATCCCAAGTGAAGCTTGTGACACGGTATATTGTGGCCAGACAGGAAGATCCGCATCCACGAGCACCAACTAGCAGTGAAGAGACGTGACCATTTGTCTGAAGTGGCTATGCATTGCCTTGACACAGGATATACCTTTGGATGGGACAAAACACGCATCGTCGGAGTTTGCCCCTCCAAAAAAGTCCAAGAATTTCTTGACGCCATGCAATCCGATGATTCATACATCAACCGAATTGATTTAGCTGGAGTGTACAAACACCTCAAAGAAAGGTGGAAGAGACTGCAGCCGACAAACATTGACCAACATGAACCGCAATTAGCGTCCACACCAGATGACCTAGACTGACCCCGGACTGACTCAAATTATAGTTGCCAATTTGCCATTGCGACTGCTAATTACGTCCACCACGATGTGACGCAAATTGCAACTCCCAATTAACGCCCACACCAGATGACTATATAACCGAATTAGCACTTTGAAATGCTAACTGTTCTTTGCAAATTTTTCTCAAGTCTGACGACGG